GTTAACTGCTGTTTAACGCCGCAGTACGCGATCCGAAAGCTATCACAAGAATGCTGAGTTATGGGCAAAAGTCGGCTCATCACGTTGAACGTGTGAGTGCTGTAAGGCTATGGCACAAATAGCCATTGAGCTGAGTGGTCAAAAGTGGCCTCGGTAGCGTAATAGGGAAATTGAGCTGAGTGGTCAAAAGTGGCCTCGGTAGCGTAATAGGGAACGCACTGCACGGTAAGCAGAAGATGCGGGTTCGAATCCCGCCCGTGGTCCGACTTTTGCCCATAACTCAGCATTCTTGTGATAACTGCCTTCATAATTGGCGCATTCCCTCACTCCACCACGTTAGAAAGACGTTTGCACTATTGAGAGATTCGGCACTGTTCGCCATGGAGGAGCATTTTTCTCACGCTAGCCCCTCTTGTTAGTTTGTGCCAACTAACAGGTCCCACCTTCGTAGCACGAATGCGGATTTACAGGTCTTCATAAGGTGGTCTGTAAAAGCTGAGCTGAGTACCATTCGGTGCCCGCACCCAGCGACCAGTATCTTGCTTACTATATTACTGCTTTCTGAATGCTACTTGTTTGTTGGGAAAAGCTTCTCCCATCGAAACACGGATGGTATAGGGAACAGTGAATTTATGGTGGGCTGTTCAGGCACTGGTGGTGATCCGTTCCGATCAGTGGAAGCATTCGATTGTCGACTGAATCGCTGGATATCCATTTGCGAAATGACACAACAACGGCGACATGTGGGCGTGGTCAGCGCTTTGGGGAAACTGTAAGTTCAGTCGTAGTTGACCATGTTTCATTGTGTACTCATGTGCTATAGTAAAGGTATTCAGTGGAATTGAGTTGAGTTTGGAATTGAATGGAATTGAGCTGGGAATTCCCTTTTCAGGTTCGCAATTGGTGGTCACGACGGCATGCAGCATTTGGCGTCAGCTGAGATGTTCGATCCGAGGGAAGGCGTCGGTTGGCGGCGGGTAGCGCCCATGCGTACCTGCCGCCGAGGAATTGCGGCCGCGGCCCTTGACGGAGCCATCTACGCTGTGGGTGGGCTAGACGACACGACCTGCTTCAGTGTAAGTATTACTGGATTACCGTAGGATACTTCATAAAAATTGAAACAGCTACGGCACAAAATGCCATTGAGCTGAGAGGGTAAGAGCGGCCCCGGTAAGCGAGAGATGCCGGTTTGAGTCCCGTCTGGGGTCTGAGTTTAGCCCATATCTCAGCATTCTTGTGATAACTTTCGAGGCTTCTAAATAAATAGGAAGAGGCTAAGGAGGCAGGGTAAGTAGTTTGAAAGTTCTCTAGGGATGAGTGATGAGGATTTTCTCTTCATCCCTGATGGTCAGGTTTACTAGTGGTGTCTATGTCGGAGCGTATGGCCCGCGAAATCGTTGAAAAAAGCGTAATGTTCGCGCATCCTTATCGGGATCTAACTGATTTAATGTGTTAGTGCTAAATTAAGATTACCACTTTAGATCGCGTTTCCCGGTTGCGAACAAGTTCGAGTGAGCAGGACTTTAAGTTCGGGCTCAAACGGGTGACAGGGTAACCTTCAGTTGCTACACGAAACTTTTGATTTCAGACTGTCGAGCGCTATGACATCGAATCGAACACCTGGTCTGATGTGGCTCCGATGAATATACGACGGGGTGGTGTTGGCGTCAGTGCTCTTGGTGAGTGCCTAGTGACTAAAGAATTTTCTCGAACGTATGGAAAATTGGGTATAATGTGCTATTGGCATGTGTTATCCTTCAAAGATCGACTAGTGCAGCTTAAACCTTTCACAGGCAAGTTCTTATTCGCTGTTGGAGGCAACGATGGTTCATCGTCATTGGATTCATGTGAACGATACGATCCTGTACTTGACAAATGGAAATTGGTCTCAAAAATGACGAATCGAAGGTGAGATTACTGAAGAAAAACTGAGACTTTTTCAAAGCACCTTTTTAGCTTTTGATGCTTTTAATGTCCCTGTTAAAGGCCCTTTTTGAACTAGCCAGATAAAGAGACACTCATTGCGTCTTTTTCACGCCCTCTATCGGATCTCCATGGAAAAAAATGGGAAAAGTTTCCGTACACCCGATTATCGTGGAACCTGCTTTGAACTAGCGCTGCTTTCTTTGACAGCTAACTGTTGTGCCTAACTTATCGATACCGACATATTTCAGAGCTGGTGCTGGTGTTTGTGTGTCCTGGATGGTGCTCTCTATGCCCTCGGTGGTTTTGACGACAACTCACCTCTATGTACCTGTGAACGCTACGATCCGCATACGGATCAATGGACCCAGCTGGCAAATATGACGTTCTCAAGAGGTTTGCAGTGTTTTACAAGGTTTTTTCTTCTGGGCAGACTTAGTTCATTGCCTGAACTAGCTGCCTCCCTCACTCAGGAAGTCTTGGGTTAGACAAGTTCGAGCGAATGACATGGACGTCAACGTCCAGTGAGTGGAAGTTTCAGGTGAACCTCGGAGAAGCAGCACTTCCTAGCTGCTGAGCTACCTGGGACTTGATTGATGATGATTTAGCTTTTTCTATCCTAACCTCCTACGAATTTAGGTGGCGTCGGAGTCGCGTCAATGGGCGGTCTCGTCTACGCAATCGGTGGACACGATGGTCAGCGGTATTTGAACACTGTTGAAGCGTACGATCCAGTGACGAACGCCTGGACTCCAGTGACGGACATCAAAGACTGTCGAGCAGGTGCCGGTGTGGCATGGGCGGATTGCAGGTGAGGAGCTCAGTAATGCAGTAATACCTTCATCTGATGATCACTTGTAATCCCGATCCTCCGCTTGTTGGTTTTCCCGACCCAAGACGTCGTAGAGTTTGTCAAACGTGAGGCTTGTGGACAGCCTGAGTGCGGTTAGTTCGACGGGTTTCGGTCCTGTGATAGGCCATGGAGGCTAAAATGCCTTTTAGCCTAAAATGGCTAAAGTGTTCGAGTTTGTGCGCGCGTTGAATCGATTGGGAGGGAATGCG